TAGCTGAATATTGCATCTTCTTTACTTGAAAACTTCTTCTTAGCTACGTGCCCTTTGCTGATACTCAAATGTAAGCTTCTTTGATATCATGTAATGGTTTTACAAGCAGAATAATGTTTATTCTAAGAATGATAATTCTAATGCAACAATTATGTAAGTCTTGAAGATTTTATTGAAGATATTTTGAAAAACCTTATGAATGAATCACTAGCTAGGACGCAAAATTGATTTAAAAAAAATAAATAACAAAAGCATATGATACCAACATAATTTTTTTAGCAAAATTCATGAGAGTCAGAAAACGCTATCTCGTTGAAGTATGCTTTCGAAATAAACCTTGTTTCAATTAGGACTTTTGAGGGCTGTAACGTGGCCTGGTTCCCGGTTTTAGAAAAAACGGATTTTAAGGCTCAAAATTATTTGGTACCCACCCCCTTCATGAAGTTCTCCAGTCCTAAGTTCAGTTAACTCGACCTAAACATTCATCTCTCAAAATAAATTTCGAGACGGTTGAGGAACCAACCAAGGTTTTCTTTGGATACGACAATCACTTATTTTTTACTTTTATTGTCTAATCACGCAACATATTTCTTTGCTAAGGATATCCATTTTGTAATCCTCTTTTGCCTTTCAGGCTTTCCATCATTTTCCCTAACTTTTTCCTGGACAAATTCTTTTTGAATTTGACTATGAAGCCCAGCAGGATGCCCTGACTTTTGCCTAAGCGAGCTTTTTCTAAGTTTTGACTTATCGGGGCTTTTTGTCTTTTTCTTTAATCACTTATTATTCATTTCATTTTTTCATTCTTTTTTATATTACCTTTTCTTTCTTTCTTGAACATGTCGCGTGATGTTGAGTCATTTTTAATTTGTTGGAAGAATTGTGACTACCCTATTTCTTGGAAGATGAGGGATAACCATTGTTGTATCATCGTCTACTGAATTTCTTAGGTGCGAGAGATACTCATTGGGGTATCGTCAATTGACGCCCACTCTTGATAAGTAAAGGTTAGCCATTACAATTTTGTGTCTCTTCAACCTTTTGAAGGATAACCATTGTTGTATCCTTAGATGCATATTTCTGATGAGTTTCGAACGCTCGATCAAATTAATTGAACACTACCCTGCCCCAGGTTAAAAATGAGGGTTTTTCTAAAATAGAAAATAAACTCCTGCTTCAAGGCTTAAAGGGGTTAACGAGGGTTTCATTCCCTTATATCTCCAGTGTTTGGAAATTTGAAACAATGCCTGTACATCGTCAACAGGGTTTTATTCAAAAGCATATAACCTGGAATTTTGCATTTTAAATTCATCATCCTCCCTCCAATCTATGCTTAGGAAAGAGAATGGATAACAAGTTGGTATCATAATGCAAAAAGAAATTTAAAATTTAAAATAAATACGAGTGAAACAAATGGATTTCTTCAAGACAAACATATTCATTGTATTAAGATAATCATTCAAATGTAAACAAGTTCTTACATGCAAACAATACAATGATTTAACAAGAAGAATTACAAATGAGAAATCAGTAAAATTGCCAGTAAACATGAGAAAGCTAATCATCTTTGAAATCCAGGGCATTCTTCAATCACGTTTATTCTTCGGCAAAGACTTGGCTTGATCTTAGAGACAAATATCTTTAAGTTACAAGACGCCACTTCTGACCAATTTCTGGACTTCAGCTTTTAATGGATAAATTTTTTCAATACTATGTCCAGGGGCTCCCTGATGAAAGGCACAAGTCAAATCAGCTTTGTAGTACCAAGGTATCTTCTCAGGAATCTTCAGTGGAGGTTGAGTCTGAACCAAATTCCTCTAAATTAGGATAGGAAACAACTCTGTATAAGTCATTAGAATTGGATCAAACTGAGCTTTCTTCTGATCAGGAACTTGCTGATTCTGTTGACAAACTGAAGCAACAAGAGGTAAATTGAACACATGGATGACAGAAGAAACATGTTGACTCTGACGATGATTCTTTCCTCCTCTAGTTCTCTTCTTGGCAAAGTTATTATCAAACTTTTTCACACTGCTAGTTGTGCCACTGTCTTCAGATAAACATTCCTTTCGGAAATCCTCTTATAGAAGCACTCTCACATTCGCCTTTTCTGGGAACTCACCGGGTGTATTGACTATCACCTTCTCATGAAAGAATGATTTCAGAGTTTCTGTGAAGACTTTTTCCATCTCTTCTTCCTTCCTAGAAGGATTGACTTGGGCGGCAACCAAAGTTTTAACCAAAGCAGTTAGATATTCCATATCAGCCTTCAAAGTAGTTACTTCTTTGCGGAGTTCAAAGATCTCTTGCTTAATTCTTTCCATCTTCCCTTAGCACGAGTGTTGTACTGATGAGACAACTTGATTCTGAAGACCAAAGGACCTTGAGTAAGACTTCTGTGGAACTCATGAGATGCATAGTCAAACGTAACATGATGCATGACATGCAATACAAATGCCATATTCTTATTTCCAAAAGTTCCTACACTTTGATTCCAGTTATTAATCCACAATGTTATTATATATTCTTTTTTCATGTATTTATTATATATATTATTTTTTTGTTTATTTTTCGTCTTAAAAATTGGAATTAGGGAAGTAATGTTTGGAAACGAAAACATGTATGCTGATAATTATATTAACATGCTATGTATGCAAACATATGGGATCAAAGCTTCTGCGGTACTGGATAACTGCTGAACTGATAACAGAACCACTGTCATATGTAATAAGATCAAAGGTCCGGACTAATTCAGAATACCAAGGATCAAAGTCATCAGTATAATCAGAGTCACCAACAGAACATGTATAGTCACCATCTGTACCTGTAAAGATTATTCCCTCCCCACTCAGGGGTAATGACTAGGTCATGGTAAGGTCAATGGTAACTTAGAATCGAGGGTACTCCTGAAAAACTATCGCCATATCACCTACGTGAAAATGATAGCCCCTTATTTGTACCTCATCTGAGCGTGGACAACATGGCGGAATAGTGAAACCTAAGTTAACTAGCCGTTCATGTTCCACTCTATTCCCAGTGTTCCTATTGTTTCTACTTGGCTTGGGTATTGGGCCTTTTACCACATAGTGACATCCCACCAATCAAGAAACATAGAAACCAACACAACAACAATAAAACAAATGACAATAAAGATGCAATGCAAACATATGCTCAAACATATACAAATGAATAATCCATAAAAGCATAATTATAAACACCCTAAGAAAAGAAAAAACGAGAGCTAGGAGTGACTCACGGGATGGACCAACAATTGGTCGACATTCGGTCCCTAACAGAGTCGCCATTTTTCTGTAGCGGTAAAATCAATAAAGTCGCCACTGAGTATTTATTAATCCCATATGAAAGGGAAAGGAAAATCATCGAAGAAAAACCTAAAGGGGGAAATCAAGGTCTTACGACCGAGAGATTGGGTAAGGGAGTCGATTACGCGAGGGGAAGGTATTAGCACCCCACACGTCCATAGTACTCTACGGGATCCACTCTCGTTATTCTAATCAAAGGGTGTGTTCAATCTAATGCTTAAGGGTTATAAACTAAAAGATAATGCATGCAAAGAAAAGAGAAAGAATGTAGGGAAAATAAAGTTGTACTCGCTTGGGACTACCCCAATGCCTATGTATCCTTTTTGAGGAATCAGAGCTACCGTAGTTCGGCTGATATATTTTGTTTGTTTGTATTTTTTAAATGAATAATGTTACATTCGATCATTCCACCGCTGCTCGACCTTTGGAGACTTATGACCTGTAGTGGAAAGGAGCTAACATGCTCTTAGAAGAGAAAAGCCAAATGGAGAAAAGAAATGGATTGGTTGGTATTTTTTATCATGAATATAATTTTTTTTATATACTTAGCATTTTTATATGTTTGCCAATAAAAAGAAGTTTTAAATGCGATCATGCAAAAAGTGGGGAGAAAACATCCAAGGGAGACTAACCTATCTCTAACCTAATGTTATCATACAATGAGGGATCCTATCTAAGTTAGCATGCCAAAGAAAGTCTAACAAACTATCCTATAGGGAACATGCAATGAGAGCGAAGTCGTGATCTCAATTTCTAAATTGAGTGACTCATCGATCAACAAGAAATAAAGGAAAGCGATAAAATCCTATAGGGAGCATGCACTGAGAGCGAAGTCGTGATCTCAATTTCTAAATTGAGTGACTCATAGATCAACAAGAAAGTAAACAAACACAAGCACAACTCATATAGCAAATGAAGTGTGGAATGCCTGCTACAGGTATTTAAACAGCGACTTCGAGCGCACGCTCTTTATTTTCTACTTCTCATGGTATCTAGAAAAGCGGTAAAGTGCATAAATGAAGAATAAAATAAGGTGGCGATGATACTGAACGGAGAAGGTCCGTTGCCTCTTCAAAGCCACGCAATTGATAAGAAAACTTTATAGAAGTTGCTCCGCAAGAGTGATAAAAAATTTAATCTCCAAGCATTCCCCATTGCGAAAGTTACATCAATATCCTATCATAAAATCCTAGCTAAAAATGGCATCAAAAGTGATTACCAAGCATAAAAATAATAGAAAATTCTAATAAAATTCTAAAGAGAATCTAAAAATATTTCCTAAAATATTCTACTATTTCTTTAGGTTATTTTGTCATAACAAAAATATTAAAAAAACTACAAAGTTCCTAAATCTTAATAGGAAAATATGAGCTCAAGGAGGTGAAAACTGAACTCATGGGGGTTCTATAGAAGCAATCAGAGTATTAGTGCCAAGCCCAATCTAAAAGCTACCAAAAAATTTGATGATGGGCTTGGGAATAGTTGAGGTCTGGTCCAAGCAATCCACCCTACTGTTCCTTATTTTTTTTAGCATAATGATTATACAACAAAAATAAAATTAAACAATTACAGAAGCAATAAACGTGAAAAATAATGAAACGAGAGGATACGATGTCGTTCATCTAGGGTTCCCAGTTTGCTACTGTTGAACATTCTCTTCCCTCTCAGTCCAACTCAATGTCCGCTTCAACCTTCGGTTTCCACCATGTTCGTGCCGCTATTGTCTTCTCTGATCTTGAACCATTCACATCCTCTTCTTCGATTTTAAACAAAAACGACACTACCTTCACTCACTTCTCCGCCTCTCCGAGCCACACGCCATCGTACATCGTCCGTTCACGGCTTCTCCATTCTTCGTCATTGTTGAACTCAGCCTTCACTTTGATTCAACTCCTCATCAATCTCCATTTAACATCAGCTACTGCGAGAGGTCCGATACTCTTTCAACGGTGTCGTCGTTGCAAGAAATCCAGAGAATCCTTATTTTCCAGGTACAAAGCTTATGCTTTTTCTCTTGTTTACACTTCTGCTTCCGATTTTCTTCTTCAATTGTGTTATGAATTTGTGTTGTGTGTTGATTCTGTTACGAATTGATGAAGCGCTTTCGTTGTATGAAATTCAGAGCAATGAAGCAATTGTAATGATGATGCAAAGAGAAGCGTTGACGAAGATCAGAGGAATCAAGACAGTGATGATATTGTTGAACGGTGAAGATTACGCAGTAGTTTGAAGAAGATGAAGAACCAGTGAAATTCTTGATTTACGGATGAAGATGATGATGAAGGTTTGTACAGAGAAAGAGGCAATGTGCAGAGGATTCAGATGAAGATTGAAAGAGAGAAGTGAGAGAATTTTCAGGTATTTTTGGTGGTGATTCTTCTGTAGTTGAAGAATGGATCGTGACAGTGATAAAGAGAATGAAAGGAAATTTTCTAAGTTTTTCTGTGTTGAGTCCTATCCTTCTTCTAAGTTTCTTCTCTTTCTATCCTATCATGAATGACTCGTATCCCCTTATTGTGTATATCAGTTCTGTTATGTCTAGAAAATTTGTTAGATTTTCTGGATTCTGTTAGTAACTGCTTTTGTTAGTTGGGCTAAGATGGTTTTCTGTTAGAAGTTGGTTATAGGTTAGGGGTTGTTAGAGAGGTTGTGGACAGTTGGTTATGAAATTCTGTTAATGCTGGATTATTTGGTTGGTAATTAGGTTATGAGATGGTTAGAGGTTTATGAGGAATTAGAAGATCGTTGTAGTTATCTGACAGTTGGAATTAGTTAGGCTACTGTTAGAAGAGTGAGAGTTTGAAAGGTAGTTAGGAATTCTTTTGGGACTGTTTTGTTGTTTTCTTTTTGACGTCCTCCTCCTCTCTTTTCTAATTTAATTTTGAACTATCCATTTTGTTTTTCTATTACAGAAGTTATGGAATTGGTTTTTGCTGTTAATTTCAACTGGTTTGAATTTTTATATGCGGGCTATCTTGGGTGATACGGGCCCGTTTTCATGGCAAGGGGTTTGAAGGAAATGATGAAAATATCATAGTTCAACACATAGTAGCAAGTGGTATGAAGAGTTGTTCGAAAGAAGAATTGGCCGTGGAGCATTGCTATTGAAGACTTAGGATAAGTTTATGCTTTATTTTACGTGTAACTTGAATGTAACCATGAATGTTGTAGATGAAACTTGAAGGATGTCAATGCAAACTTGAAGCATTCTTGTAATATACTTGACTTTTCTTTTGTGGCGTAATTGGAATGAAGTATTTGAAAAATTGTCAAGGTAACAAAGTTCTTGAAACATGGCCATACACCGCAATCTTGTATTGTAACCTTGTAAATCCAAATGATACACTTTCTGAAACATCTTTCTCTGTCTAAGTTTCAAGCACTTTTCATTGGTTAAGACATGAAGTCTTGCTCTTTAAGAATATGAGAGGACTTTCTTTATTTGACATTTCAAAACAATCTTCAAATTGCAACTTGCACAACCTTAATCTTTTTCTTCAACCTCACTATTTTGGATGCTTGAATGTCTTCAAATGAAATATTTTGGTTCCTTCCTTGCCCATAACAATTTGAATGAAATCATGGATGAAAATCCAAAGATTCGTATAAGACATAGTAGGAAGACTTGTAACACCCTTAAGTTGATAGCACAATGTAGTTCTAATTATTGAAGAGGGACACCTTATATTGATCATTAATCTCTAAAATTGATTGATCATTGCAAACACCATGAAATGCATCTTTGTCCACAAAGAGTTCACAAGCTTATCTTTTGCGCCATCTTGGTCAATGAATATAAATCTTCAATTGAATTTCAAACTCAAGAAGCCACACAAATCCAATCAACAAGATTGGGTGAGCTCTTAATTTGTAGCTTAATCAATAATAAGCACATTGATTTGATGAATTCTTCAACCAATCCTTAACCATTTAACAACTAGCATTAAAAGAACTAAGCCCTTGACTAAATCTTCTGAACTTCTTGAGAGGAATGTCTTGAGATATAATGACTAGGATAAACCCTGATTGATGATGATGAACTTGCAATAAGGGAAAAGTAGTTCTCAACGCAGCCTTGAAGTGAGACATTAATTCAATAAACCTCCATAGGGGAATCACTACCAAGTTCAAATAAAATGAAGAGAAATCCTAATTCTCTGGCTGATTTAAACCCTAATGCCTTTATTCCTCGAAAGAACCTTGATGAAGAAAAAATTGTATCTTGAGAAAGCTTGATAGCAAAGACATCTATGCTGCTTGAGATCCCAAAACCCTAATCTCGTACCAAGAATGATGAGAGCACCAGTTGAATCAATTTTGATCAAGACGATAACCTCCATTCAGAGAGAGAAACCCTAATGCCAAAGCGCTTCGATCTTATAACCATGAGACCAATGCTATATGCAAAATGTACAAAGTATGATGAGGGATCTTAGGGGCGAAAATTGGGGTACAACACACACTAGGGAAGTAAACAACGGTGCCAAACCTCACTGGTGAGATAAAGATAGTGGTACCGATCCTCACTGGGGAAGTAATTGCACACTGCATTGGAGAGAAAGATGCAACCCTCAATAGGGAGATAGTGGAGCACACTTGAGGATAAATAACTGCACCAAACTGGGGAAATAGATTGTTGTACCAAACCCAATAAGATATACTTCTGTGGGGGAAGATCTCTGAAAAGAAACCTCTTAACAAGCAAACTTCTATTACACAACAACATAACCTTTACCGGGGAAAGGGATTCCTTCTAGGAAAGAGCGTTTACATCATGAAACTTGTATAAGTAGCAACCTCAAACACACTCAGATTTCTTGCTCGTACCCTGCTTGTCATGAGTGGATACAAGGTTCCTACAAAACGAAATCACAACAACATGTCCCAGGCAGGAAATGGAAACCTTCGGCCATTTCCAGAGACACCTGAAATCTCAAGTAATTTCAACTTTTTATATCATGATCTATGTAGCTTCAATATTTTTAGATGCAAAAGTTTATCAAAAATTGGATGTTTTTGCAATCAAAACAGTACAAATAAAAATGCATCTTTTGGATGAAAAAGAATTTTATTGATTAATTGGCATGTGAATATGCATTTACATCAAGAAGCAATTCCTAAAAATAGGTAATTGCATATAAAACATAAAGAGGAGATACAAATATGACAATGTGAAGACAAATTTCGACCGAGTTCCGACTCTACTATGACTCTTATAACCTTAAAGCTCCTTAATGTCTTGTGTTTTGAAAAACCTGATTGGACTGATTCCTTGTCCTTCCAAGTTAACCACTCTAATGGAGAATGGTGTTACAACTGCAACACATACCGTAATCATTCACTTTAAATCCCTAACTTTTGTCTGGATCGCCCTTTGAGGTTTTCAATCCACCGGGGTACCCATTTTTTCCTAAGTTGCCTTTCTCAGGTTTTCAACTTAGCGGGTGTACACAATTATATTTTATTCTTTTTTTGTCCCAAATTTTTCCCCGAACCTTTTTCCTTTTGTGGTTCACCGGGACGCCCTTTTTTCCTAAGTCGTCTACTTAGCGGGTCTTTTCATGAAAAGTATTTTTTAACTATGTCTGTATTGACGGGTGTAGCAGTGAAATTCGGAGATCAAGCTATTAATTAACTTGACTTGCAAATAAGCAAGAGTTGCCACCGCGCTTTATTATTTCCAAGGGAAAAGGGAAAAGTGCGAAATAAAACCCATAAATATGCAAAGTAAGTGCAATACTAGAAATAAAGAAAAATACAATGCAATTGAAAGATGTTAAAGGTTCAGGGGTTGGTTATACAAAGGGAAGGTACTAGTGCTCTATGTATCTATAGTATCCTATATGAACCTTTTGAAATATCTGTTTTTTGGTTAAAACTGGTTTGCTTGCAAAATGAGTATGGGGATGAGATGTTGAAGATGCGACGACCCAGTGTTGAAGTTTTGGCTTAAAAGAGTGTAAGTTTAAAAATTGATTTTTTTAGGAGATTTGTCTTAAGATTAACAAAATTAAAGATGGATGAAGGGATTCACACAATCATATTAGATATATTTGATGACATGAAGTCAACTAAATAATTTTTTCCCTTGGAATAGGCACAAACAAAATTAAAGAGGGGTTACCTTAGAGTCTAAATCATTTTATTTGCTTACCTTGTTTACCTTGTTTGCTTTACTATAAGGGGTTACTTGGGTTTATAATTCTTGCAAAGATCCTACACCTGGATCTAGACACCTTTAGGTAAGTAGTAATAGATCATGGAAATTGTACGACATAGATCGATATGGTTGAAGTGATGGCTACGTTAGTGTAACACTTTGGTTTGTACTGGTGTTCCTTGAGTTAGTCGAGGATAACACTGGGTTTCCGCGTGGTTCCATAAGAATTAACTGACTTGTAGAACCCTAATTGACCCATCTTGGCCATTAGAAGGTAGTGAGATAGCCGAATTTTGTGCAGTCCAAGATTGGTTGATACTCGATGCTACACTAATTGAGACTTGACTTTTGAGATATTTTGGTGGCAAGTAAGTTGCTCTGCTGAGATAAAACTTGCGAGAAAGATTGATGATATGAGACTCCTAGAACCCGATTACTTTTTTTAGGACAGGTTGAGACAACTGAACTTCAATAGAAAATGGTACTTACCTACAGACCTCATGCAAGCCTTTAAACCTAAGGTTCTTGTGTGCTTTACTTGTGTTTGTTATCTTCTCAAACATGACATCATGACATCATGACATCATAACATCACATTTTCACTAACCATTTCAAGGATGTCAGGGACCTGTGATGCAAGGTTATCATAAGCCAGATTTCTAGCAAGGGGCAAGAGGATTTATTTTTCTCTAGCCAGATGCCGTCAAACACCAAAGTACTTTCACTTGAGTCAAAAGCTAGGACCCACTTGACATGGTGAGCTTGATTCTTATAGAGGGAAGTTCAAAGATGAAGACCCGAAGCTCTTCAGACAAAGCTGCAGACTCAACTTCTAACATTTCATCTCCTTTTGTTTATCCCGCAAGATCCTTGAAAACATCGCATATGCATTCACATACCATACACATCATTACATAGTAGGTATTACCCAAGG